TGCCATGGTTATGATCCCCTCCATGCATCATCAACCAACCGAAGGGTAAACCCTGCAAGTCTATCCCCCTCACCCTCCCTGCCCCTCACTGCCCCCTCCCCCCATCATCAGCACACAGCCCCTCTCCCTCTCTGGGTCTAAAGTCTCCAGCTGCTCCATCTCTCCACGTCATCATCTCTGCCTCCATCTCAGGCATCACTGCTTCTCTGGGTAGGGCCCCGCTCTCCGCTCTTCTCTGTTAATGGTTCTAGGGACCTCCACTCCTAGACTGAAAAGTTAATCAGTCCCCTCCTTGCTATAAAACGTCTACCTTTACATTTCCAACCTTCACAATCAGTCCTGATAACAATTATTCACTATTATATCACAAGAGACCTGTCTGCATATCATTTCATCAGCCCCGCCTAGGCAGATTAGATAGTACTCACAGGAGATTCTGCCTTCCTCCAGGCCCCCTGGATCTAGGTTCCCTCTTGAAAGCTTGTAAGCCAGTCACTTCTTGCCTTTGTAGGGCCCCCCCCCCCATTTTGGGTAGCCAATGTCCAAGTTACCCATCCCTGTCTACTCTGTGTATGGAGGGGATGGGAATGCTCTTTGCTGTAAAGATTTGTTCCCTCTTTTGAGCTACTGCATCCATAGGTGTAGGTCAAGTTCATCAAATTGTATCAGATTACTCTTTTTGTCCTCTTCTTTCTTCTTCTAGTTGAGCTCTGATCATTGAAGCCAGGTCAAGTGGGTATTATCTGCAAGTGTGGGTGTTCTTATGCATATGCCCTCTCTTCTTATCAGCTGGATGCTTCACTCTCCACTCTAGTCCTCTGTAGCTATGTCACTGACTCTGGGCTCAAGAGTCCCCAGGTCTGACCTTCCACTTTACCGAGCATGATGTCCTTCTTTAGAAACTGGTCTCTTCTGGTCACATGTCCAAAGAACATGAAGCAAGTCTCACCATCTTTGCTTCGAAGGGGCATTCTGGCTGTACTTCTTCCAACACAAATTTGTTCCTTCTTTTGGCAGTCCATGGTATATTTAATATTCTCCACCAATATCATCATTTAAAGATGTCAGTTTTTCTTCCATCTTTTTAGAAAATTGGAGACTTGCCCATTAAACCAATGAGATTCCACTACACAGTTGTTGTTGTTAAGTGCCGTTGAGTCGGCTCTAACTCATAAAGACCCTGTATAGGGTTTCCGAGAAACAGTTGGTGGGTTTGACCAGTTGACTTTGTGCTGATCCTACAGTGGTGGCTAAAATCCTTAATCCTGACAGCTACCGGGGACGCTGATGTGGAACAACAGGACATTCACCCATTGCTGGTAGGAAGGTACAACGGCACTGGCGAAGCATTCGGACAACTTGCAAAGATAAGCATAGTCTTTTTAATGTTGGTTCCAGCAAGCATGCTCCCAAGTATTTTTTACTCAAATGAGAAGAAAACATGTGTACGCAGAAAGACCTGCACACGGATGTCCACAGCAGCCTTATTAATAATTGCCCCAAACCGGAAGCAGCAAGATGTCCTTGGCAGCCTTCGCCTGTCCTCCTGCCCCTGTCCTGTGTCCTGCTTGTCCTCACTCCCCATGCCAGACCTGGACTCCTCTCTCAGAAATGTTCCCCACTACTCCACAGGCAGACTCTGCTTACATGCACATCCAGTTCCATGTACCACCTCCACAGACCCTCTGTTACCCGAAACCCAAGACTGCCGCTCACTGGAGTAGCAGAGCACTGTTCACCTCCATGTCCTCAGAGGCCAGTGGGACAGGCAAGGACTTGGAGCCTACGATGGGGCCCCAAGGCTCCCCCTAGAGAGTAGGAGCTGCAGTTCCCTTGTTATACTGCGGCATGGGGGTTGCCGGGGTGGCCCCACCCCCACCTCCACCCCCACCCTCTCACTCTTCCTTCAACCCCTGTCCACAGCTGGCTCCAGCTCAGAGCTGGAAAGGGCAGCGTGACTCACTGTCTCTAGGGAGCGCCAGACCTGGACTCAGGAAGGATCCAGAGACCAGCAGGATCCACAGGGGCCACCGAGGAGCTAGCCCAGCTGGCCAGGCAGAGCAGGCAAGACCAGCCACAAGGTCCAGGGGTCTTCGGGCAGGGCAGGGCACAGGGTGGAAGAAGAGGAACAGGACTGCCCTTTAAGGACAGCCGGTGGGGGGCAGAGGCCCTGCAGGACTCGGCCACTGCATGGGCCACTCCTGTGGTGCTGCCCTGGCATCTCAGGTGACATGTCCTTGTGATCTTTGAGGGGAGGCAGATATCTGTTGCCAGTCTCAGGGGAAGGGGCCAAGTTTCCCACACAGTGGGCCACCAACTCTGGCCTGGCCAAGTGGTCACCTCTGCAAGGCTTTTCCTGGGGTGAGCAAAGGCAAAACCATGTGTCTTCAGGGACGGGTGGCACGGTGGGTGAGTGTGCAGAGGCGAGTGGGGAAGGGGAGAGGAACAGGGAAAGGAATGGCCCTCTCCACCTTAATTCCTGACTTACAAGTGAGAAGAATAATTGTATCTCTCCTCTAGAGTCGCTGAGAATTAATAAAGTATTTTCATTAATCACATTTCATTTTCATTAGTGAATTAAATGCTGTTATGTGGCACTGTGGGTTAATGCGCTGGATTGCAAAGTCAGTTTGAACCGCAAGGTCAGTGGTTCAAGCTCACCAACCACCCCTTGGAAATCCTATACAGGGTTGCTATGAGTCAGAACCTACTCGACGGCACTTAACGGTAACACAGGGAGTGCAATGGCTTTGTAAGATACGCACTGGACCGCAGACCACAAGGTCAGCAGTTCAAGTCCACCAGCTGCTCCTCAGGAAAAAGATGAGTCTTTCTGCTCCTGCAAAGATGTATAACCTCAGAAACCCTGTTCAGGGCTGCTATGAATTGGAACTGATACTTAACAATTCTTGTTATTGTCACAAAAACACATGGAGGCCAACCGTTGTGGCCACAAGCTATCCTACTCTAATGACCCCATGTGACGAAGGAGAACTGCCTCGAGTGTTCCCTCGGCTGGAATCTTTATGGGGCAGATTGCCAGGCCTTTGTGCTGCAGATTTACAGGGTAGACTTGGACCATCAATCAGCATGTCAGCTAGCAGTCAAGTGTTGCATTCCCCTCCCCCCCCCCTTGTGATGATAATGCTGTTGCTGTTAAGCTAAGCGCTGTCCAGTCGGTTTTGACTCACAGAGACCCTTTAGGGGGCAGTATTTCATTCCCTAATGAAAATGAAGTGTGAGGTGAATCACAAGTCCCTGGTGCCCCCACCAGTGCTCCCACACCCCCCCATCCTCCACCTGACCTGAGCCTTAGGTAGGGGTGATGTCTGAGCACAAGTCTGGGGATGCAGACAGCAGAGTGAGTGAGAGTGGACTGGGCAAAGAGTCAAAGCTCCGCACACAGGGAAGTCCGGTTTGGAAAGTGACTTTGGCCCCCCAGGACAGGACAAGAAAGGGCAGCGGTCAGGAGGCCAGGTGTCCAGAGTGCTGAGGAAGCCCAGCTGAACAAAGGAGCCAGGGTCCAAGCCAGGAGTCCTAGCTCCAGAACTTGCTCTCAACCTACCTTCCAGGATGTTACCAGAGACCCACCCCTCACCACTGACAGTCAGGGAAACTGAGGCATAGCACGTTAAAGCTGAACCCCTGACTCCAGGCTTGGATCACTACCCCAATCCTGCCCCTAGCACACAACTCACCCCTTCACAGTCCTCATAAAAGGAGCTTCTTAGGGAATACATACTTCCTGCAACCTTTGACCTGCGTGAGATGCTTGGAGATGTAGAGGAGGTTCCAAAGGGAAAAAGCTGGGGGCTGCCAAGCCATTCCTTCCCCTAGGAGCCCAGGCAGCCCCCACAATACACAGCTTAAAGCCAAAGGGGGGTGGGGAGAACTGATAGCCTTCCCAGCTGGGAGACCCCACCCACAACACTTCCCCAGAAGTCTCCACCCCCACCCCCACTGGCTCTCTGGTAGCAGGCTGGGGCCCAGAGGACTCTGCCCTGGACAATCATGGTGCCGGTCTAGGAGGAAGGACTCCAGGCAAACTCCAGCCTCAGTCTTCCCATCTGTAAAATCAGGCTAGGTCAGAGGCTTTCTAGGTGCTACCACTGGTGGAGGCTTGGAGCCAAGCACTGCTCTGAGCTCTGTGGTCCACCCTACCCCCTGCAGACAGACACACAGAACTTGGTGCTGAGGACATCCAGGTCCAGGAGATGGCAGCTGAGCAGATTCAATAGGGTGAGGGGCATAACGAGGGCAGCCAGCAACCCTCCTGGGTGAGGAGAATGAGGAGGTATTTGTCATACTTTCATTTCAAATACTCTGTTAAAAAAAACACCCCACTGCGTTCAGTCCATTCCGACTCGTGAGGCCCGCGTGTGTTGCAGAGTTAGAATTGCCACACAGGGTTTTCTTGGCTGTCATCTTTACCCAAGCAGATTGCAGGGACTTTTTTCCACAAAATAAGACCCTGCAATGTCTGCGATGCTTACTCTGTGGTCTGAAGTTACCCGTGACTGTGAACAAAGGGTCCAGGCTTTGCCCCCTAGGATCCCCAGGTTCCATGGAGCTGATCCAGGAGCTGCCCACCCTAGGACAAGTCCCCTCCTCAGCTTCCACACTGCAGGGCTGAGGCGTTGAGGCCCCAGGAAGCTCACAAAAGCCCAGGTGGCCGGAAGCCCCACCTGCCTTCCACCCAAACTCTGAGGACAGCACAGGTGAACAGGACGCTCCAAAGCTGGCCACAATGACGTCTCCTTCCCCTCAGGCGCCCCAGAGGTCCAGCAGGGAAGCTACTGTCCTTGGCCTGGTGCCTAGAGCTGGGGGCCAGCTGGAAACCCATTGTTTGCGGCTGTAGCTGGCCTTGTCCAGGCCCGAGGGGGTTTCTGAGGGAAGCTGGTCTCACCCTGTCCCAGGAATGTCCTTCGTCCCACTTCCCCGAGAACTCAGAGCCTCCAGTTAGGACGCAGAGCCACAGTCTCAGCTGTGTTCCCAAAAGGATGAAGGTGCCTGCAGCTGTCCTGCTGCTCCTGTCTCTGCTGTTGTTCGGGGAGCCAGGTGTGTGGGGGAGGTCCACAAGGTGAAGGTACTGCAGTCTGTCCATGGGGAAAAGCAGGAATGAGATTGGGGTCCTGAGGCCAGTGGGGAGTGGCTGAGGGCTGTGCCATGTAATCCCCAAACATCTAGGGCTCAGACCTGCAGACCCAGTCTCAGCCTTTCCTGTCTGCAGGACTTTGGGTTCCTCCTCAGTTTCCTTTTCTGTAAAATGGGCAGGCAGGCAAGGTGAGGATTCCCAGGGTGAGGTGGCATCTGCTATAGAAGGCCCAGGTCAAGCAGTTGAGTTCTGATTCCAGCTGCAGGGAAAGGAGGCTTTACTCTTAGGCTGGGAGAGAGCTGCAGAGGGGTAGACAGCAGAGAGTGGGGGGACGGGGAGGATCATAGGGAAGGTCAGGACAGGGCTGGAGTATAGAAGTGGTGGGGAAGAGGCTGGGGAGGGTAAAGGGGGCCTGGAGGGAGGTGGAGCATCTCTCAGACACAGTATTTGCTGGTGTATCTATACCCGCAGCCAAGGTTCATCGGAGTGCCCTCACACGGCCAGGCAGAGGGCTGGCTCAAATCGAGGAGGAAGAAGAGGATGAGGACATCGGAGCGGAGGAGGATTACGAGGATGAGGACTATGACGATGAGGAGGAGAACTTGGTCCCCGGTGCAGGAGACAGAGGTACTGTCCTGATGGCAGCCTTTACCTAGGGGTTGGGGACTGGGAGGCGCTGACCCTCAGCACACCCCTCACCTCTCAGCCTGTCGGTGGGGATACACCATGGCCACCCAGAACTACGAGCCTGGATCAACAGCCTCTCTCCAAGAGGGCACAGGTGGAGTCTGGGCAGAGAAGTGTGGGGGTGGGGGGCCTGGACCTGGGAGTGGGGCTGATGAGAACGCACCCCTCGCTGCCCTGGCGCGGCCCAGACTGCAGGCACCCTAGCGCTCAGCCGGGGTGCTCAGGTAAACCCGTCCGGCTGGGCAGCGCTTGGGAGACCTCAAGTGCGGGGAGAGGGGGTTGCGGGGAGGGTTGTCCAGGGCACAAGGCGGAGCCTCGCTGCTCCAGGGACCAGATGTGAGAGGGACAGGCTTGGGGATGGCCGTCCAGGAGGACAGCGGAGACAGCAGGGGCTCCAGATAGCGGCTTTGGCTGAGTTTGGTGGGGTCCCCACGGTCTGATCCCACCTCGCCCCCCAGCCCACTTGCAATGCTATTTCTGTGAGAAGCTATACGACGGGCAGCGCTGTGACAAGCTGCAGAGCTGCGGTCCCAGTCAGTCCGTTTGCAAGACCTTAGTCTCCCACAGAGAGACGGGTGAGTGGGCGCCTGGGCTGGGGGCGGAGCAAAGGGAGGAGCCTGGCCTCCCGCCAACGTGACGTCGTCCCTGGTCTCTGCCCCCTCCTCCCCCCACCCCCCAGGGTCTGGTTTCCAGACCACCCTCTCGACGTGGTGTACGGACTCCTGTCACCCTGTCACCAGGACTTTGGAAGGGACCCGGGTGACCGTGTCCTGCTGCGAATTGACTCTGTGCAACCTCCCACCCTGGCAGAGTCCAGGCATCCGCGACCTGCCGGGCAGCGCGGCTGGAGGCCAGCAGAGGACCAGGGCTGGCGGCACAGCTGGAGGCCAGCCGAGGAGCAGGGGTGGGGGCACAGCTGGAGGCCCGCGGGGCAGCGCGGCTGGAGGTGCCAAAGGCAGCCCCTCACCTATGGGCACAGCCCTTCTGCTGACCCTCCTGGCCTGCCTGCCTGCAGGAGGGTCCTGAAGACACGGCCCCCATCTCTCCCTCTGTTGCGTTACTTCCCCTCAGACCTGCCCCACCAGCTTCAGAGAATAAACGTGGAGCTTCTATAACATGGGTCCCCCCCACCCCCCAGAGGTCTGCTTTTCTTGTTTACCTACTAATGTTCCTCAAGCCCTCTCCACTGGCTAGCTCAGGAGCCAGAGCCAAGGTCCAGGTCTCAGCTGTAGGGGCCACATACATGCACCTGTGGTCCCAGATTCCCTCCCACCAATGAAATTCTTCCATCTACGCCACTGGTTCCACTCAACCCCTTCCAAGAGGTTTGGCTGGAGGAGAGAAGGGCTCTCGGATGGGGGTGAGGAGAGGTGGAGCCAACGATGCAGGCAGAGATAGGGCAGCAATGTTAGGGCACGGAAACAGCTGGGGTGGCATTTTCCAGTGTCCTCGGCCTAGTGGGAGAGAGGAGTCTGGGACCGGTGAGCAAAATGGTCCTGGGGCTTCCTGAGAAGAGGAACTGAGACAGCGCCAGGGACTCAGGGGCTCAGAGTCCACCTTATGGCTGCTAGCCCCACCTCTAGGCTGGGTTGAACTGGTCCAGTACCACTGGGCACTTGATTTCGCTGGCTACGCCCATCGCTATTTTGTTTCATCAGCAGCCAGGACAAAATCTAGAGTGGGAGGTCAGAGATCTGAGTCTGGGTCACAGCTCAGCCTCTACCTCAGGCCTCAGTTTCCCTAGGTTTCTCCAGCCCTCAACACTTGAGCAGTTAGGAAGTCCCAAGTTCTATACTGCCACCACGTTCCCCTCGGCAGACTCCCTCAGGACTAGGAATGTAGACTGATTGCTCTCTGATGTGGCTAAGGCTGCCCATCCTCCGTTTACTTCATCACCAAACCCCAGGGCCTAGTGGAGGGAGGGGGCATTTCCTCAAATGGAAGCAGCAAGTCTCCTTTCTTCCCCCTCCTCCTTCCTGCTGGCTGGAAGAACGGACAAGGCTGGATCTCAGCAACCACTTTGCAGTATGAGGCAGCACACTGAGAATGACAAGCACACTGGGTCACTGATGATCAGACTCTGTCTTTGTCCTCTAGGGCTCCTACAACAGAAATGCCTCAGAGGATGGCTGTACCAAACAGAAATGGGGGGTTAGAAGCCCAAACTCAGGGTGACAGCTCTAGGAAAGGCTTTTTCTGTGTGTCAGCTCTGGGGAAGGTTCCTTGTCTCAACATCTGTGGACTTGGTGTCCACTGAAAATAGTCACGTGTCTTGGTATCAATCTACCTGGGTCTAGAAGGTTTGCAGCACAGTGACCCTGGGTCCAAATCACTCACTCCCTTCTTGGTGTATGAGGTCCCTCTGAACTCTGCTTTCATGTTCAATGCCTTTTATACCTCAAGACATTGACTTAAGAGATAACTGAATCCTATAGCTACCAAGGAGCTCTGGTAGCATACAGGTTACGAATCGGGCTGCGAACCTCAAGGTCAGCAGTTCGAAACTACCAGCTGTTCCACGGGAAAAAGATGAGGCTTTCTGCTCCTGTAAAGATTTATAGCCTCGGAAACCCTGTACAGGGTCAGAACTGACTCCACGGCACACAACAACAACCAGAGATTATAGCCTACCTCATTAACATTGTTGTCATTGTCATTGTTCCGTGTCAAGGGGTCAGTACTGACTCATGAAGACACCATGCACAAGAGAATGAAACACTGCCCGGTCCTGGGCCAACCTCACAATCATTGCCACACTTGAGCCCATTGATGTTGCCACTTTGCCAATCCATCTCACTGGGGGGTCTTCCTTTTTTCTCTGACCCTCCATCTTACCAAACATGATAACCTTCTCCAGTGACTGGTCCCTCCTGACAATATGTCCAAAGTATGAGAGATGAAGTTTGGCCATCTTGGCCTCCAAGGAACACTCTGGCTGTACTTCTTCCAACACAGATCTGTTGGTTCTTTTGGCAGCCCATGGCACTTTCAGTATTCTCCTCCAACACAATAATTCAAAAGCATCAATTCTTCTACAGTCTTCCTCATTCACTGTCCAGCTTTTGTATGTATATGAGGTTATTGAAAATACCATGGCTTGGGTCAGGTGCACCTTAGTCCTCAAGCTCTCATCCTGCTCTTCAACACTTTAAAAAGGTCTTGTGCAGCAGATTTTCCTAATGCAATATGTCATTTGATTTTTTGACTGCTGCTTCCATGAATGTTGATGGTTGATCTGAGAAGAATGAAGTTCTTGACAACTTCAGTCTTTTCTCTGTTGATAAGAATGTTGTTTATTGGCCCAGAGGTGAGGATTTTTGTTTTCTTTACATTGAGATGCTAGGCTGTGGTCTTTGATCTTCATCAATACATGTTTTAAGTCCTCTTCACTTTCAGCAAGCAAGGTTGTATCATCTGCATATTGCAGGTTGTTAATGAGTCTTCCTCCAATCCTGATGCTATGTTTTTCTTCATAGAACCCAGCTTCTCGAATTATTTGCTCAGCATACAGGTTGAGTAAATATGGTGAAAGAATACAACCCTGTCTCACACGTTTCTTAATTTTAAATCATTCAGTGTCCCCATGTTTTGTTCAAACAACTGCCTCTTGGTCCATGTACAGATTCCTCATGAGCACAATTAAGTGTTCAGGAATAATCATACTTCTCAATGTTGTCCATAACTTGTCATGATCCACACAATTGAAAGCCTTTGCATAGTCAATAAAGCATAGGTAAACATCTTTCTGATTGTCCCTGCTTTCAGCCAAGATCTATAGGACATCAGCAATAATATCTGTCATTCCATGTCCTCTTCTGAATTCAGCTTGTACCTCTGGAAGTTCTCTATCAATGTATGCTTGTAGCCATTTCTGTATTACCTTTAGCAAAACTTTACTCACTTGAAATATCAAAGATATTGTCTGATGATTTCCACATTCCGTTGGGTCACCTCTCTTTGGAATGGACACAAATATGGATCTCTTCCAATGAGTCAGCCAGATAGCTGTCTTCCAAATTTCTTGGCAGAGATGAGTGAGTGCCGCCTGTGCCATCTCACTTTCTTGACAGATTTAGATTTTTATTCCATCAATTCCTGGTGCCTTGTTCTTTGCCAATTCCTTCAATGCACCTTGGACTTCCTCCTTCAGGATCATTGGCTCTGTGTATTCCTTCCATCTTTTCTTGATGCTTTCTGTATCATTCAATAATTTGCACAGAGAATCTTTCAATAACGAAAGTCAAAGCTTGAATTTTTTCTTCAGTTCCCCCAGCTTGAGAAATGTTGAGCATGTTCTTCCCTTTTGGTTTTCTGATTCCAGATCTTTGCACATTTCATTGTAATATTTGACTTTGTCTTCTCGAGCTGACCTTTGAAATTTTCTCTTAAGCTCTTGTATCTCCTCATTTCTTCCATTTGCTTTAACATCTCTGCATTGGAGAGCAAGTTTCAGCGTCTCTTCTGACATCCATTTTTACCTTTTCCTTCTTTCTTATCTTCTTAATGACTTTTTGCTTCCTTCCTATATGATGTTCTTGATGTCATCCCACAACTCTTCTGGACTTCCATCTTTAGCGTTTAACGTATCAAATCTATTCTTCAGATGATCTCTAAATTCAGGTGGGATATATCCAAGGTCATATTTTGGCTCTTGTGGACTTGTTTGCATTTTCTTCAGCTTCAGTCTGAATATGCATATGAGTAATTGGTGGTCTGTTCCACAATCTGCCTCTAGCCTTGTTTTGGCTGTTGATATAGAGCTTTTCTATCATCTCTTTCCACAGATGTAGTCAATCTGACTTCTGTGTATTCAATCTGGTGAGGTCCACATGTATAAGCATCTTTTATGCTGTCTAAAGAAGGTATTTGAAATGAACAAATCATTGGTTTGACAGAATTATGTCATGCGATCTCCAGCATCATTTCTATCACGAAGGCCATATTTTCCAACTACTGATCCTTCCTCTGTTTCCAACCTTTGCATTCCAATCACCATTAATGATCAATACATCTTGATTGTATGTTTAATCAATTTCAGATTGAAGAAGTTGGTAGAATTAACCTCAGTAACATAACTGCCACTAATCCTGCTTCATTAACAACACAGGATAATTGGAGGAAACTCTCGTAATACTGATACTCCTGGCCTAAGTGAGACACAGTTCAATCCCTACCAGATATCACCTCCCCAGCACTGCAATGCCGGTCTCCTGGGGAATTCCCACAGAGGGGAATAAAGTTCAACTGTGCTGTATCCACTGTTGTTTGGGATTGTTCTGTGCCTTGTGTTGTCACATGTGCACACACACACATACATGTACACACACATACTCACACACAAGCATGCACACCCATTTTCATACACTTAGGTAAACACTCGGGAGTCCTGATGTGGTGCTGTAGGATAAACACTGAACAGCAAGTTCGGTCTGAATCGCAAGGTTAGTGGTTCCCACCCACCAGCTGATCCTTGGAAACCCTATACAGGATCACTATGAATCAGAACTAACTTGACAGCACTTAACAACAACGCAATAATCGAACACTCACACACAGCCCCTCTGAAATGCAGCCAACAGGAGAAAGGTTGCTTGAATTGAACTCTTAGCTCCACCCTACTAACTCCTTGGCGTGGGGAGCTGGTCCGTTCCTTGGATGAGAGGGAACAGCAGGTGTGGGCAGCATGGAAGTTGCCTTCGTGAATAACACAAGTCTAATGACCCCCTCCTTGCGGCCACCAAGCCTGGCCTCTGGTAGACTCCTCAACTGCACCAGTAGAATATCTGGACTCAACATACCTCATAAACTATACCTGAGTTAGAGATGTTGGACACCTTCAGACACCTGTTTTAGGCCCTGCATAGGTCTGAATGGACAGATACACACACACACACACACACACACACACACACACACACACACACACACACACACATGAGTGGAGCTCACCATGGCCGAATCCAAGCCAGATTCAGGGTTCTGTGCACCCACAGGGAGCAGGCCTGCCCTAGCCCAGACTCCGGCCT